TTGCTGGTAAATTTATGCGCTTTCCCAGCGTTTCCTGCATTGACATTTACTTGGGTTATTACCAATGGATGGTTCCATGCAGAACCGACTCGTTCCGCATAAATGCGAAACTGCAATTGTCCCGACAGCCCTCACACGTTCCCCTACCTTTTAGGCACGGTAAAGCTATTGTGGTTTTTGCCATTTTTCCGCCAATTGTTTTTGGGCCGACTATTCCACACTTTTGTTTGGTTTCTGTGGTTGACCGCATCTAGCCAAGCCTCCTTACCATTTAGCCAACGATTTCGATCTATAGTCGAGTTCAAACTAAGTCGTGGAGTATGATTTTTGAGTGTAAATTAAGGTTTCTATTTGGACAGAATATTGAAGACCCAATGACACTCTTTAAACTTTAAAAATTCTTATAAATTCTCTTCTTTCCACGGAGTTTCAACAACTTGTTGCAATCACATTCTTGTTGATAGGAAAAGTTTTAATCGGCTTAATGCATAGCACAACCATATAACTAATTTCTCGCTAGGAAAACTTGGCAGAAGCAGCAGGAACACTAACTATCACCCGAAACTCTGCAGTTGGGGCTCGATAGCACTTAAACACACACTGATCAATATGCACACAAAACATAAATACAGCCTCTCTACAGTTGTGGATGAGATTATAAAGGCTATCTTAAATATAAGAAAAATGTTAGCCTTTTTAGGGTTGTGGAAGAAACCTCAAGGAGTTTCAATGTAAAATTTTTTTAATTTCAAAGTTATTATTTTTATAATTTAAAAATTTATTGGACCCCAAGACTGTAGATGTCCCATCATCCTCATAGGAACATGCAGAATGTAATGGCACATAATTTCAATGCTTGCACAAACTTTAATTAAAACAACTTTGCCGAGCGCTAAGCATCAGTGTCCCAGGCGGCAACCGCATACACGCTCGCACCCGGGCTTCCACAGATACCAACCTCATAGATACTCCAACATACAGTAGCAGATACATACTCTGCCCGCCGGTTGCCGGTTTCCGCTTGCCGCATGACATGACGCTCCTAATGAAGTGCATGAATACCTTAACAAAATGGAACCGCCCGAAATCTATGTGCGTGTCACTGGGAGTGGGAGTGTTTAGCGTAGCTGTGTGCGTGCTCATAATCATTTTGATGGGCACGTAAAATTCAAACTAAAATCACTAGAGCGTTGGCAAACAACGGCGCAGCTGCCAAACCAAAAGAAAAAATATCTGGGGAAAGACAACATCAGCCTGGCAGCCTGGCAGGAACTAATATACAACATTTGCACGTGACTTTGATATTGAAAATGCTTAACATGGCGGCTGTGTGTGGTGCTGTATGTTGGTGTTGGGTGCGCGGGTGAGATACATCTGTAAGTATGCAGACGGAATGGCAGGTCAACAGACGAAAACTTACCGAAACAACTGTATCCCATTTCGGATGTTAACCGGATTTATGAGGAAAGTTTGGTTTATTTTTAATAATATTTGCTTTTATTGTTTTTGCCCAGAGTCCTCTGGTCTGTATCCTCTGTGCTCTGACCCTTGGAATTTATATCCTTTCCTACTTGTTGATGCCTACAATTCGAAAAGTTATCCGGCAAGACCTTCTCACAACACCTGCATTAAAGTGTAAATAGTTTTGCCATTGATCACCGCAGAAGAGAGTAGTTCCGGGGTGTGTACGTGTCTGGCATTTCTGGCAGGAAATGCTGAGCCACCGCATTTATTGGGCAAAGTCTTGACCTCAAGCACAATTGAAAATCTATTGAGTGTCGAGAAAAGGCAGCGGCAGTGGCATTGGGGAGAGGGGCCAGTGATTAAACGGAGGCAATAAAAGCCGCAGGCCGCTTTAGACGCACCAACCGCAGCTGTGCGATAATCTAATGCAATAATTAGGTAATTAATCATATCAAGCACCGCCATCTTACCGACATCCGACAGCCCCACAAATCGCCGTCGATTGGCCATTAAGTCATTGGCCAGCATCTCCCTTCTTCAACGGGCTGCTAATTAAAGACAAACAATACACTTTAAAAATCGCATTTGATGGAAGCCGGCAAGGGCCACCTGGCCCCCATACGAGTTATGAGAATTGAAAGGAAAATATTTAATTAGAAACACAGGGAGCTCGAAGAAAAAACTGCGTAATGGCGTTTACCTGTTGAGCAACAAAGGACTAGAGTGAGAAATAGGCAAATAGGAAAGAGGCTAATGGAATGACGGTTCTGCTTTTATCCCAGGAATTCACTATAATGCTGTTCTGGAAATGAATTTCGTAGTCTTAAAGGTAGAACTTTATAAAACGAAGTTCTCTAATGGAAACCAGTTTATTCAGAATTAAAATTTGTTAGTAGAGATGTTCTATTTTTCTTACATTAAATACGCAGCGCAGAAACAGTTCAGAACGTCAATAAAACTAAACAAACTCCGCGGGATCATACGCCTGACATACCAATTAGGCTAACACTGTTGATTATGAATAAATCGCAGACACGAGGAGGGGAGCAGCACAACAAAGATATAGAACGCGGGAAGACAAAGCCACCAGATGGGGGATGGGGCATAAAAAACAATAGATGGCGGAGGGAGCTGCTTGGAGGGGCAAACAATTTAAAGCTCATCAATTCAAGACAAAGCAGCGCGTTGAAAACAATTGAGCAGTTAATGTTTGTTTACCCCACGTCCTCGAAAAAAAAAATGTGAAAAAAATGGGAGCGTAAAAGATACAGGACTCGAACGAGGCAACAAGAATGAGGAATCCCTCTCAGGGCCCTGGTGAATTTAAAACTGCCCCATGCCCGATAGAAAGCAGCAGAAAAAAATCCATTTTCTTCTTATTATTCTTTCTAAGGCATTTCTGTGGGCAACGTGCCGGCCGACAGAAACTTTTCATAATTGAAATAAATAAAAAACGACCCAAGAGGAGATGGAGAAAACATTTTGGGGGGGCAGGGTCCGCTTGGGAAATCCGCACTATCTATGTTTGTGTATCAATGGAAACTCATTTATTCGTTTATTTTATAAATAATGCCGATTCGTTTTCTGCCCGCCGGACTCGTTGGCTCTGAAATTTAATCAAGCCTCGACCAGGCTGACTGGCAGGCTGGCAGGCCGGCAGGCAGGCGCAAAATAATTTTCGCAAATTCATTTACGCATTTCGTTGTTCATCCTGCCGCCCTAGTTCGATCCTTTGCCACTGGCATGCAAAGCGTTTTTTAATCCCCAGCAACTCCGGATGCCTCGAACAAACGCATTGGCCAATTTGCGGCAAGCAGCAAGTAGCGGCGAGGAAAGAAAAAGCGAATCCAAGGGGGACGGGCAGTAAATGAATAAGTGAAACCGAAGGTTGAAGGCTCTGCAGGCCCTGTGGCAGTTGCAGGAGCTGTGGCGGGGGCCGACTGCCGGCGAACGTTGACAAATGGGGCGAGGCCACTGACCGGCTTACGCGGTCATCTATAAGTTTCAGCTGACGAGCAGAAAGTTGCTCAATTTGAGGCGTCCTTGCCGGAGGCACGACGCCACTGTTGACAATTATCTTAATGAGTGCGGTAGCTGAAAAGATCATTAAATGCAGGGCAAACACATTTTGAGGGTTCTTAAAGCCACCTCACTGAAAGTGAATCTTTTGCTTTAAATTCTGCGACTGAACTATGTCAAACCCATTTCAAATAAACCTTTTAATCCAAGCAGTGTAATCCTTTTACGAGAAAATAAATATTTTTAGACTTGAATAAATGTATATTCTATACGAAAATCATAAACTTTCTGGAGCACAAAAATTGGCAAATATCTTGAATTTAACAAGGGACTAGTATGAGAGTCTCCCTCTTGTATGACCCTTGCTCGTATATTAACAGAATAAATTCGGAAGCTTAAATTCCTGGCCTTCCATTAAGCCAACACTCAAACTCAAAGAGCAAACGTGACCATAAACTACCTTGGCGGGCTGGGGAGTGCATCCCCAGGACTATTTGTGACTTGCTTGTTGGGTTCTTCGCCAACACAAACTAAGTATGTTGATCCAATCAGAGGGAACAGCAACCAATCGTCGCAGCAGCCCCAGACCTCAGGATTCGGTGAATACATTTTCCTTGGGATTTGCGGCTGGCTTCGCCGTGTTCTGTCAACTGTCGTCGGTTCACGTCCCGACCTCTAACCCTTGGCGGGATGCAGAATACGTATTAGGGCGGCTGAGATGGGGCCGGGGCGAGGGCCCATGACTGGGTCTTGCTTTTATTTATTTTCATATTATTTGAGAGCAGCACTGCTCTACTTTCAATAACTGTGAATAAAACTGAATGAATGAACTGGCTAACCTTGCCGCTGGCACGACGCTCGCCGGGTGGCTGATAGTGGGTGGTGGCAAGGATGAGTACGGTGGCCGTCGGCTTCTGCTACTCTGCTTTGTGTTTGGTTTATTAAAATATACATTTTCTTTCCTTTTTTCATTTGGCTTCCTCCATTCTATTTATCTGTGTGTGTTTGTGCACTTTTGGTTTTCTTTACTCTTTAGCTTGGCAAATTTTGCAGAAAAAAATATTTTTTGATCTTTTTTTCCATGTTGCCGCAGGTTAAAATGTCAGCAAAAACTGGACAATATATACTAGATGTACAGTAATTATTAAAAAATTTAAATATCACTCTGACTTGGCATAAGGGAGCGGATAGGCTAGACTTCAAGAACTCATCCCATATTTTAGTATTCATGGAGACATCTCTGAAAGTTAGAAACTTCAGAAGCTATGGAGCTTTTGATATTCCAGGGACCACTGTATATTTACGTTGATTTAATTTTTTTTGTATTCGTTTAAGTCTTGCGGCTTTTGCATATTTCATGCGCATTTGCATGTTCTTTTTTTTCTGCGGCTCTTGCGCTCTCGAAGATTTATTTGTCAGATACGCTCTTTTATTTGATTTATGAAGGTGCTCCCGCTCACCTCCGACCCCGAGGCTTTGAGGTCGCCGATAAGCTGGAGAGATGGAGCTGCCCAGGAGAATTGTGTCAAACAAACCTCTGTGCTTCCTCCCCTCGGTCAGGGGGAGTCCGTGCTCCAGCCCCCGATGCCTACTGCCCATTGTGGCCGGTAGCCTGTCCGGTTGTCCAGCTGTCCTTCGCGTCCACCACCAAGCCACCCACCTTCCGCCGAGATGCCCGACAAGAGCCCTCTGGATCCTAACCAGCCGGTGCTGTATATCGAGCATTGCCGGTACCGCCAGAACTACAGGCGCATGGCCCTGAATCTCCACTCTACATTGGCGGAAGCCCTGAGGGCCATCCACCCGGCGGTGAAGCTCCAGCTGAGGATCAACGACAAGGGGATGCCACAGATCGGATCCTTCGAGGTTTCCATCGCCTCTAACCCCACTGACGATGCCAAGTCCAGGCAGAGGGTCTGGACGGGCTTGAGGAGGATGCCCAGTGCTTCCAAGATTCCCCACGTCGACGATATCTTCACCCCCGTTTGCCATGCTCTTAGGCTGTCGGATCCCCAAACGGAGTCACATCGGCGAGTGCTGACCAACCTACGGCACAGCGAAGGCAGCCGGACGAGGAGACAACTCCAATAAACAAATTGGTTCGTGTAGTTTCAAGAAACTAAACGGTGTTTTATCTTTTGGAAATACTTACTAGTTATTGTGACTTGGTGGGGAAGGTTATACATAAAATTCAAATAGCTACTTTTCGGAGCTAATTACCAGAAGAGCTGAGGCGAGTGTAGATAACTAACAGCCAAAAGTAGCCACGCAAAGCTAATGAAAATTCCGCAGAAAGGTCAAGAGCCATTTTCTTGTTATTTTTGCAACTCTTCTCCGAAATGGTCCTGCCGAATTTTCATTTTAAAGCCAGCAGCCTCGCCAAGTCAGATAAGGGTAACATTAAGACTCGAAACTAATGAAAAGCCAAGCCGCGTGCCTGGGAAAACTCCGCTTTGCCTAACTTGAGTGTGATGTGTAACTGCATACAAGCGGCAGTTATGGCAGCGCCAAAGGATGCAAATGAGAATTCCTTAAGGCAGTGTAAGGACTTGTGCCTGTCTGGGTCCCCCCCACCCGACATCGCTCCACAGAGTCCCTGCTCATTTTCGCTGGCAGCAGTCGACTCGTGGCGGGGATCTTTGAAACTGCAGGAGCATCTGCAGCTCAAGTTGAGTGCTGCATTTCGGCTTCATCGCATCTCGGTGAGCACACAGTGGGCGAAAGAAGTCTGCGCCATGGCGGAGCAAGGAGCACAATAAATCCCCTTCTTTAAAGTAGTTGTATAATATTTTATTTGGCAAAGTATTTCGTTGTCTGACGTCCTGCCTTTTGCTTCTGCTTGTGCTTTTTCCTTCATGACTTAAGTTTTCAACACACGCACTGTGCAAACACATACACCCACCCACACTCGTTGAATGGAAGGGCACACACATGGGCCAGGAACCGGATACAGTGCTCACAAATAATTAATTTGATTTTCCCTTGGAAGCTTTTTGGGGATCTGGCTATTGTTGCAACTCTCCAAATCAAAATACTTTCATTAGATAAAATGTGAAATTTTAGTTTCGAAATTAATTGGTGTAATTGCAATTTAAATAATATCAGTTAAAGGTTTAAGCTTGAAAGGCTAAGTACCATTCATTTACCACAAAACAAATTTATTTGTTTTGTTTTTACAAAGTTTGCCCACATCAGCTGCGAGATTATTTGCAATGCAACAAAATCCTTAAAGAGCTTACAACATTTTCGATTTCCCTGGAAAAAACCACTGTACCGAGAGGCAGTAGTGCGCGCTCCTTGACAGGACGTGGCTGGCCTGGCCCTGAAAGGCAGCATAAGTAGTGGAAAAAGGCAGCATATTAATCTTGCAAGCAACAACGCTAAAACAATACATAGCAACAGCCATGATGCACTGCAGCACTACTTGCACCACTACTCTTTTCGGGCATCTTTCCTTCCGCCTGTAAACGGAACATGAAACTAAATCGTTTGTGTGTTCCTTTTGTATTTTTGCACAAAGTAAATGAACTTCATTATAAATAAACCGTCTTTTCTTATGTTTCCTTCCCATTTTTGCTCGCCCCACCACTGATTTTTTTTGGCTTTCTTAGCTTTCGGTTTCAGTGTCAGTCTTGTTAACAGAAATGGCGCATTTTGTTGGTGTCTGCCAGCTGTGTCCTGGCTGCCAAAAAATATTGCAGACTTTTGGGGCGCGACGGGATTCTTGCCAACAACCTGATCACGTTTCGCTTAAAGTCTGTGTTATGATTTATGTTTCCATAATTACTTTGCAATTTAAACCGAAACTTGTTGAAGGTTTGAACTCGTTTACTCGCTATTGATGGAAAATTTAAATAATTGTGATAGTATTGGAGTACGAGATTCCTTGCCATTCTTGGCTTATTTTTAACTTCACAGCCAACTCAGGCAGCTCAATGAAATTCTTGTCATTTTTGCCGAAGCTCCAGCAAATATTGAAAAAGATGAATAAAAGGAGAGGCGAGCTAAATGCTGTTTACGCACATTTTTGCAGTCAGGGAGACAGTTCTTTCAGCCATTTGCCTGCCAGCTCGAGCATTTTTCTAGTTCTCACTTGGCGCTAGGGAAAATGGTTTTAATAATATTTCAAATTGACATAGTCGAAGGCACTGATGACATTCAATTAGCGGGGAGCACTTTTTCGAGCTGCAACAAATGATAAGTGATTGGTCTCTGGTTTGGAAAGCAGAAACTGCATTCTTTCCCGATGACCAGAAACCATTAATCAACTACGAGAACCCTTGACGGGCTATCATTTTTCCGGGACGTCATCCAGCTTATCCAAGAGCGCAAAAATAGTTGTCAATTTATTTAGAGTATAGAATTCATTTGATTAAAACATTCCCCTCTATTCATTTGGGCTTTTATTGTCACATTCAGTTCGCTCAAAAGCAAATCCATTTTGCAAAAGTTAATTAAATTTTTCCTTTCGAAGCATCTGATGCATGACCAAAAATAATACGGTATGAACGCATTTTAAATAACTGAAAAATGCCCTCTTCTTGCCCGCATGAATTATGAATGCCCAGAATTTATCAAATGTCCATGCCGAGAGTCATCGTTCTGAACCGAATTCAATGGGCTAATTGACATTCTGTTTGACCGTGTTTTTTTGTATCGGTTTGTTAGTTTGTTTGTCTACATTGTGCGCATAATGCGGATGACATCGATACCGCTCTCCCCAAGCCCCAAACTCTAATCCAATTCGTTATCGTCATCGGCTCGCCGGTTGTTTAATTAGAAGTATTAGCATTGATATGGTCGGTGAGACCGCAGGTATCATTCTAATTTGTTCAGTATTATATTGAGCGTTTGGTGGATTTTCGTACCTCCCACAAAACAAGGATAAATGGAAATATATATGCACTCCTGCAGACTCGATTTCGATTTCAATTAAAAGACAGCACAGAACACAGAATAAGGCCGGAATGCAAATACAATTTTTTGACATTTTTGCAACCGAGTGCGGGCGGTTGGGTGTCTGCCAAGGTGAGTGAAAGGCAAAGGATCTCTCGGCCACTGCCGACTGACAGACAACTTTTCCAATCTCTGCCACTCATTCAGGGGGAGTCCACTTTTTTTTTGGGATGGCCAAGACATACGCAAGTGACAGCTGTAAGCCTTTAAATTGGACTTTCAACATCTGGCACAGGATTTTTGAAATATTATGTATATATTTGATTCAATCGTAGATCCAAACTTAACTCAAAGTAAAAAAATATACACAAAAATTTGCTCTTTCATACGCGTTGTATACGTAATGTGTATGCACCATTTTTGGGATACGCTGCGTATACGTAATTTTTTTGGTGCGTTGCGTATACGACCAGTGTTTTATCTAAATAGTCGTATCTTTATATCTTAAAGATGCAGTTGCTGCCTCTAATAATGAGTTTAGAGAGGCGAGTACTATACAGTCTCTCTTTAAAACCCAATAAATGTTAAGATTTAAAAACCCAAATTAGTGGTTTAAACACCGCATATTTTTAAAGCCGTTTAACTCAAACTACAGGCAATCTAGCACTTCAATCTCTGTTAGAAGGAATGTTGGAACATCCTATTCCCCAAAGAGCCCATACCGAAAAATATGCCAACAATACCAACAACTGCCCGTGTCCGAGTGTCATTCGTGATGATCTATGGATGGTAGCATAAATTTTGACTGCTCAGCTCGGGGGCGGCCCTGTCGGTCCGAGTGCGACAGACCCCAGCATTGAGGGGCATCGATGCTGCGACGAGAATTGAATTGAAATTTGAAATTTCAGAAAAGATTACAACTATACTATCTGGTTCGGCTGTTTGTTGCACATTGCATGTGTGACTCTTGTTGGGCGCTAAAAACTGATTGCCGGAAAGGCTTGTAATTGGTTGCACATGCAACCGAGCTATCGAGCCACCGAGCGGGTGGTGGTCGGGCATTTTCTGGAGGAAGTGGCTCACTGCTGATTGGGTGGTGTGGCATACTCATGGGCATTGTGGCAACATCGGTTTGTTTCACTGTTTTTAGCATTATTGTTATTATTTTTGCGGCGAGCGGAGAGCGCTTGTTAATGATTTATGCATTTTGCATGGTGCATAGAAATGACATTGCAGTTGTGCCAACTAAATGTGGCAATCTGTGGGTGGTAGCGTGTTTCGCTAATTTAAATGCACATTTGGGGCACGGGATTGGAGTGGGCTTGCACGTTAGTGGCGTTGGAGGTCCTAGTGGTGGTGACATGCCGATGCAACCACATTGCTGTCGACAGCCACGACTTCTGTGATTTATGCTGCCACGGCCATTAGCCCACCATCCACTGTTCGTTCACAGGATGCCAGCTAACAGGACGCCAGCGGAACAGTAACTGGCTAACAGAAGAAGAGCATCCTGGCAAGAGTAAATTGCCCAAAGAGCCAGCTCTGCTAACACGACACTCTCCGGAAGGACACTCTCTTTACCTCTGTTATTGGTTTTAAGAGTGCCTACTGCTCTTTCGCTGATAAGGACCTAACATAATGTTCCGCTTCTGGCAGGACAACATAAGGACCATTAGTTGGGCATAGGTCAGTAATTTTGGTAAAAACAAATACAAAACCCAAGCACGTGAAGCCATAAATCATTGGTTTTCGCCCAGAGTTTTTCATGTGCAGTGTTTTATGGGGGCTTCTCGAAGCTAGTTTATATATCAACAATATTGCATCATGGTGTAAGTTTTTATAAATTGAATTCTTTTAAATTACATTGCAACATGTTTTTTTTAAGGTTCCCAAATAGAGCTCGAATATAATCCATAGAAAACAAGCCATTGTTTTAGCAACGCCTCTTTTACTGGCCATCATTGTCTGTCAAATGACTTAAGTTCGAATATGATTTAACGATTCTATAGTGGCACCCTTTGTGGTTGGTTCTGGCAGAAAACCCTCCTAAATTCCACCTCAAACTAAAACACATTAAAAATTCAGCTCAGTCATCGAAAGAACTGAGCAACAATCCCCCCCAAAAAGAAACCACAACCAAGGGAGGGCAAAAATAAAATACTTAAAGCCCAAAAGTGAATCTGTGTTCCTTTTTTAGCCTGTGTGTTGCTCACGTTGCTATTTAAGATTCATTTAACTGCAAAACAATGTT